AAGGCGGATGATCAGGAGAATGATTTGCTGAACCTTCTCATGAGAATTGGAAGGAGTAGATTAGCAAGACCTAAGCCACAAAACAAAAGCCCATCTTCACATAAGAGGAATCAACGGGAAATAGAGGGTTTGAAGAATTTTGGGGTTAATTATGGGGATAAGCCAGAAAGCAGAGATCGAGGAAGGAAGGCCATTACAAATAGAAGATGAAGATTAAAATCTTATGCTGGAATGTCAGAGGGTTGAACGAGGCAGAAAGAAGGAGGCTAGTGAAGTCACTGATAAAAAAGTGGAACACTGATATTGTTTGTTTGAGCGAGACAAAACTAAAGCAGTGCAATTGTTCTTTAACGAGGCAGGCTGGGGGAGGTAGATGGACAGACTGGTTAGAGCTTAAAGCAAGAGGAAATAGTGGTGGAATCTTACTTATGTGGGATAAAAGGAGATGGAGTTGTAATGAGAAATTGGTGGGGGAGTATTCAGCAAGTGTTTTTTTGGAAGATAAAAATTCTGATTTTAAATTTTCTTTCTCTGGGGTATATGGGCCTTGTGATAGAAAGAGGAGGAAAGAACTATGGAAAGAACTTGGGGCAGTTGCAGGGTTAGAAGATTGGCCTTGGGTAGTTGGAGGCGATTTTAATATCACAAGGTTTGAGGAAGAAAGAACTGGAAGGGCAAAAAATACTAGGGCTATGAGAGATTTCTCAAGGTTCATTGATGATATGGAGTTAATTGATCTTCCTTTACATGGTGGGCAGTACACGTGGTTCAAAGGCAATAATGAACATTCAGCCTCAAGAATAGATAGATTTTTAATTTCAAGTCAATGGGATAATTCCTTCAAAGCTATTAAACAAAGCGTGCTACCTAGGGTGGAATCAGACCATTGTCCAATACTATTGGAGTGTGGGGAATGGGAGAGAAGTAAAGGGTATTTCAAGTTCGAAAATATGTGGTTTGAACATGTTAATTTTATAAGCACAGTGGAGAAATGGTGGAATTCGTATGAATTTCAAGGAAGACCGGATGTGGTTCTAGCAAAAAAGCTTAGAAAGTTAAAAGAAGATTTAAAGAAGTGGAACAAAGAAACTTTTGGGCACCTGGGAACAAGAAAAGACCAGATCTTGCATCAATTGGAGATGGAGCAGCAAAATGATAATCATGATAGTAATACAGAGGAAGAAGAACCTGCTAAAAATGCATTAATAAATGAGTTGCATCACATAGCTAAGGTAGAAGAGATACATTGGAGGCAAAAATCCAGATTTTTATGGATTAAGCAAGGGGATAAGAACACAAAATTTTTTCACAAAATAGCAAATTCAAATAGGAGATATAATTGGATTGATAAGCTAGAAATAGATGGGGACTTCACAGATGACAAAAATTTGATTAGAAACCACATACTTGAGTTCTATAAAGATCTTTTTTCAGAAAAAGAGAGACTGGAGACCTTCATGGAATTGTTCAGAACTTGCTAGCATCAGTGACCAAGAGAAAGAGTGGTTGGAGAGACCTTTTGATGAAATAGAGGTAACTAGAGTAGNCTTGATGCCAAAGAGAAAGGGGCTGCCAACATCAAGGAATTCAGACCTATTAGTTTGCTTGGGAGTATATACAAGTTGATAGCTAAAGTCCTTACTGAGAGAATGAAGTTGGTGATTGACAAGTTGGTCTCTGAGAATCAGAATGCCTTTTTGAAAGGTAGACAAATTGCAGATGCATCACTGTTGGCAAATGAATGTATAAACTACTACCGGAAAAGAAAATTGCCTGGTATGGTGTTCAAATTGTACTTAGAAAAGGCCTATGATCATGTCAATTGGCCTTGTCTGCTGAAGTTGCTAGAAAAGATGAATTTTGGGGGTAAGTGGATTCAATGGATAAACTTTTGTGTCTCCACTACAAAGTTCTCAATACTAATCAATGGTAGTCCGGTAGGTTATTTTAGTTCTCGAAGAGGTTTAAGGCAAGGAGACCCTCTGTCTCCCTACTTGTTTCTTCTAGTAATGGAGGTGTTGAGTCAGATGATTAAAACTGCTGTGAGAAGTGGATGGATAAAAGGCTTTAAAATGGAGGGTCATTCAGGAAATAGTATAGAAATTTCTCATAGTCTTTATGCTGATGATACCTTGTTGATGTGTGAGGCTGATAGAAATCAAGTGATGCACTTGAGGGTGGTTCTGTTGGCATTTGAAGCTGTGACGGGATTAAAAATAAACCTGGCCAAGAGTTCAATGTTTTCTTTGAATGCTGACAGTGATATTAATATGTTAGCTGATATCATGGGTTGCAAGGTTGAAAAGTTTCCTACTACCTATTTGGGGTTGCCTTTAGGTGCGAAATTCAAGGACAAATCAGTGTGGAATGGTGTAATTGACAAGTGTGAAAAAAAGTTGGCTCCTTGGAAGCAGCAATACTTATCACTTGGGGGCAGATTGACATTAGTAAACAGTGTTCTTGATGGAATACCAACCTATCTAATGTCTCTGATTCCTATACCAGCTAGTTTGGAAAAGAAAATTGATAAAATTAGGAAGAAATTTTTGTGGGAAGGTGATACAGAAAGGAGAAAATATCATTTAGTAAAGTGGAGCATTGTGACAAAACATAAGAAAGAAGGGGTCTGGGAGTTAGAAATCTTAGAGCTCACAATCAAAGCTTGCTATGCAAATGGCTATGGAGGTTAAACGATGGGAAAAAAGCTCCCTGGAAAGCAGTGGTGGAGGTGATATATGGAAAAGAGGGCTTCTTTGCACCTAAAACAGTAAAAACTCCATATGGGGTAGCTGTTTGGAGACAGATTTGTAACCTATGGGAGAAATTTAACATGTATGTTGGCTTGAGGGTGGGCAACGGGAAAAAAATCAGACTTTGGGAAGATAATTGGGATGGTTCTGGTCTGCTGAAAATTCAATTTCCCAACCTGTACAGATTGGCCAATAATCCAAAAATCCTCTTAGCTGATATATTTACTGATACAGGTTGGGACTTCCAGTTCAGAAGGAATCTCTTCGACAAAGAAATGCATGAGGTTGATATATTTATTCAGAAGATGCAATCAGTGGTGTTATCGCCAGAAAAAGAAGACAGCCTACTCTGGAAAGCTAGTAAAAAAGGTTTTTTTACTGTTAGTTCACTCTACAAAATACTAAATGCTACCTAGCCGGTGCAAGCACAAAAGTGGCCTTGGAAGATGGTTTGGAAGACTACAGTCCCAACAAAAGTAGCATGTTTTGGTTGGCTAGTAGCACATGAAGCATGTCTGACTCAAGAAAATTTGATGAGAAGGGGTTGTATAATGTGCAGCAGGTGTTACTTGTGTGAGAAAGCTTGTGAATCCGTGGACCATCTTTTTTTGCATTGTGAATTTACTTGGCAGGTGTGGTCCATGTTCACGGCTAACTTTGGCATCCTTTGGGCAAGTCCTAAGAAATTCAGGAATATATTAGAGTGTTGGGAACCTGCATGTCCAGAAGCATCCTTAAAGAAGTTTTGGAGAGATATTCCTCTTAGCATAGCTTGGACGATATGGAAAGAAAGAAATAATAGGTGTTTTGAAGGCAAGAAGGAGCAACTGCAATATGTGAAATACAGTTGTTTACATTATTTGTACTATTGGAAAGATGGAAATGTTATGAATTTTCATGATATGCTGGACATGCTAGACCGCTTAGGATTTTAATGTTTTTAAGCCAGCAGTATCCTTGTATTTTTACAGTATCAGCTTGATACTGTTTTTAATAAAATCTTCACCTTATCAAAAAAAAAATGAACCAAACAGCAAGAGATCAATGTAAGGACTTATGCTGTGATTGTAATGCCTTTTTCTTTTTTGAGCAATTTGGGTTAGGCGTTGAGATGATAACAGCCATATCTTGGCGGGGTAAAGTGGGAAAGTTGCAGCAATGGCAGTTTCTGATTAAACCCAATACCTGATTCAATTGAAATCTGAGCCACTTATGTACATGATGCTCATGTATATTGTCTTTATACTACATACCTATATACATGCATGCAGGCATACATACATTTATACATATCATGAGGATATGTCCAAAATGGTCCCTTCTTGAGGCAGTGATGATCTTTAAATCTATCCTTCTGAGCCAGTAATTGGGCATCTTGAAATGAGGATTCTTCCTGATATGACCCAGATGCATGTATTTTCTTACATGCAACCTGGGGGTATTGCAGCCATGGCGTGGCTGGACTTTCTTTGCCTGAACATGAATAAGATCTGAGCCTCAGTTGTCCCCTATATCTCTATTTGACATGGAGGAAACTGTTTCAGCAAATAGATGAAGCAAAAGGTGAAACAAAAATGGCAAAAGTTTCATTAGTTTAAGTCCGAGGCTGCTGGATTGAGAGAGTTGCGGGGAGTTTTGTGAGTGGTTGCCCCTCTCTGTCATTCGTAGCACCCAATGATCCACTCAAAATTTCCCAATTTCAAACCACTCTTTAGCAAAATAAGTTCACTTAGGCAGTGAAGATTTTCATTCTTTACTCATCAGATGGTTGACCTGAGCTTTGCTATATCTTGGGGTGGCATCTCTTTGGTGGTCTTGTGGATATTGAAGCTATTTTTTTGTTTCTGTGTCTTGCAAAGGCTTCTTAAGCTTGCAGCCACGGCGGGGTTTAGCTTATGTCTGAGAAAAGGCAAATCTGAGCCTCCCAAATATCTTTTTTGTGTTCAAAGAACGAGGATTTTTATGGAACTCGGAGGAAGGTTGAGATTTGTTAAGGGTGGGTACTCTCTTTCTCTGAAGTTCAATTTAGCCAATGAATTTTCCTATACTTTTAGTTATAAAGAGAAAGTTTAACAGCCCTTCAAGAGAAAATTTATATGTTGCCCCCTAAATTTGTCCAGAAAAACACGAAACCTAAACCCTAAAGATTGTGAATGAGGCTGTGATGATATTCTCCAGCTTTAAAACCAGATTGGCTGAGCCTTTTTCTTTCATTCTTTGAATGTTCGTGTTCGTTCTTCTGCATATCAGGAAGAATCCTCATTTCAGAAGATATGAAACGAGTCCAGAGAGAAAGGAAGTGAATATTGAGGATTCATATACTGTCTTATAACCAGGGGTACTATTGAAGCTAGTTGTTGCTGCAGTTATCTACACAATATTCAAATTTTCATGCCTTTGTTTCAATCTTGAATACTTGAAGTTTCAGAGGCAGTGAAGATTATATACAATGAAAATGAAAAGTGAAGAAGATTAGAGTTGATTCATGGCCTGGCTTGGTGAGTCCAATCGGAAGGTCTTTTTTATAAGGCAACCGTAGATTGTGCAGTCATGGCAGTGTTAACTCTGCTCTTTTTTCCTTTTCTTTTTTTGATTAAATAGGCGAAAATCTGAGCCTCATTCTTAACGTAGTTTATGTACACTTTTACTAGTCTTTCTGGAAATAGATTTTGATTACCTTCATTATGGAACCACTGAAGTCAACAGCTTTGGCTTCCAACTCTAAATCCTAAAGAGAAATAGGGTTTCTGGGTTGAGTACAAGCATTTGTTATATTGCCAGTTCGAGTGGCTTTCAACGATCTTGATAAGGAGCTTGAGTTTTCTCCTTCGGACTTAAAATTCAGTCTTGATTGGGTTGATGGAAATTGGATCTGCCCGCATGAAAAGGTAATAAATTTTACCTTCTCCAATTTGGTTGTGTTTATTTAAGGTCAATTTTGGCAAACTTTGAACTGCATCTTGGAATATCTTCAAACTGAATAATATGGCAGTACTACTTTATGATTAATATGTCTATGTTGTGCTTAAATTTTTGTATCGTCTTCTATAATTGAACTGCTATCGCAAAACATGTTACAGAGTAAATTTATGCAGCTATCGATATCGTTAATCAGTACTCTTGAATGCCTACTAATTTAGTTATAGATGGAATGGCAGTTTATAGGCATCCACAAATACAAGAAGGAAAAACCAGCTTATGTTGGACATCCAAAAGGGGGTTGCACGCCATATGTTGCATTGCCTCAGCTTCACTACTTGCGTGAGGCCTCAAAGATGCAATTCTGATTCTTGGCTACTGAAGTTCAGAGCTATTGCTTTGTTCTTGAATGCTATTTGCTATCAATTGCACCATGATCTTTCTTTTTCTCACCCAATAGTGTTGATTAATATGGACGATATGTCTGTTGACAAATTTTGTGCTAAATATTTTGCAATTGCTGCAGCATCCACTGGGTGATGATCATGAGGTCAACCATATGCTGAAATACGGAATGTATTGTACAGCAAACTCTATTTGTGAATGATCTTTTGTCCCGCTGGAATGTCTTTCTCATAAAAGGCAACTGATAATTGCAGCCATGGCAGTGTAAACTCTCTTCTTTCCTGCGATCAAATAGGCGAAAAATCGAAGCCTCATCTTTTACTTGGTTTATTTACATTCTTTTTTGTCAGTCTTTCTGGAAATAGTTTTAGATTAGAAATATTTGAATTAGGCTGTACACGTGTGATCTGAAACATTTTGGAGCTAGATGTTAATTTGAGACCTATATATGGTGCTCGAGTCTAGGAACATCTTTGCTGATGTTAATCTGGATGTTAAAATGATTCACTTTCAAATACAATTTTCTAAAACTAATTTGGTAAAATAATTTGCTCAAACTATTGTTTTTCTAGAGCAGCACAGTATGGCTTCTCCGTTGCCTAGTAGCTCGAATATACGTGTTCTTATATAAATGGTAGAATCTCAATTTGATGCAATTTAGTGGCAGAATAGTAGCTTACCTTTTGGAAAGAGGAATGTACTGGAAAATAAGATGGAGGAGAAGAAGAAAACCTTGACCTTAACAAAAAACTAATGGAAATCACTAAACTCATCGCTCAGGGGGTCCCTACAATTCAGTGGCTAAAACAATTTATCTTTGACACTAACATTCCCAACCCACACTCAATATTCCCAATTCCATCCTCGTATCTTTTTGTTTCTGGCATATTTGGCTAGCTAGAAATGGAAAAGTTTTCTGCGCACATTCCACTCCTCCCTCCTCATCCCCTATCCTCAATATGGCTGTAGAATACTACTACGTTACTTCCCGCCCACCGTCCTCACATGGCTCTCCATATCAAATGGCAACCCCCTCACTCCACACCTTTTAAATAAAACACCGATGGTTCCACTAGGTTGACTACAAGAAAGGACGGAGTTGGTGGGCGTAATACGTGACTCATTGGCTTTTGGGCTTTGCAGGACAATATCTAACTCATGGGAGCGTGGAATCTGAACTACTTACGTTATATCATGGTTTACAGTTGGCTTTTACTCATAGATACAAACCTCTCGAAGTGAATTTAGACGTCCAGGGAATTATAACTATTTGTACAGACGTCACATCCTTTGTATACTAATCTCATAAATGATTCAAGGTTTCTGCTCGTGCACTTGGATGATCCAGATATGCTTTACACCTGCAGGGAACAAAATTAAGTCAGCCAAAGTTTGGTAGCCAAATGGATAGTTCGGCAGGCATCATTGTTTTTGCACAACCACCATCTTTTGGAAGACCCCCTTCTTGTCACGACCCATCTTGAGGTCGCCCCCTTAGGACAATGCGTAGGGTCTCCCCTACTTCTTGTACTACTCCACTTTAATATAATATAACTAGTTATCCTTTGCACAAAAAAAAAAAAAAAAAAGAACTAATGGTAGAGGCCGTCTAAAAAAAGGAATCAATGAATCAATTGCACCTCAATTTCAATCTTGTTAAGGTCTGTTGTATATGTTATTTAAATTTGTTCCACTCTAACTGAGCCTATATTATTAAGACATTTTAAATTGAAAAAATTAACTGGAGAGGAACTTTTTTCATTTCTTGATTCGAGGCTCCGTTCTTACTTCTTACACTTCTGGTTCTTCATTCGGGGATATCACGTCCAAAGGCGTGGACTATTAGTCAATAAAATTGGAATAAAGATTTTGAGAGATCATATTTCAAATTGCAGCATAAGCCAAAAGAATAAGTGGAGTAATTTATCAGTCTAAATTTTATTGGACAAGTTGTGCAGTATTTGTGGTGGGTGATAGCTGTGAGTTTATAGGGAGAAATTTAAAAATAGCCAGATTTATAACTGATCGTTCAAATATAGCCCAATTTCAAAAGTAATCGAAATTTAGCCACTTTTTATGTAAAGATAAATCTGAGCGAAAACACTGTTCAAAACCCGGAAAAAATACTCCAGTATATTATGCTGGAGTTCCAGCATAAGTATACTTTAACTCCAGCATATTATACTGGAGTTCTAGGATAAGTATGCTGGAACTCCAGCATAATATGATGGAGTTCCAGCATAAGTATACTAGAACTCCAGCGTAATATATCGGAGTTCCAGCAAGTATATTGGTCGAGTATAATATACTGGAGTTTAGAGCACCGGTGCTCCAGTCTCCAGTATATTATACTGGAGCCAGCAAAGTATACCGGTCCAGCATAATATGCTGGAGTTCATACACAAGTGCGGCGAACTTCAGTATATTATGCTGGACCGGTCTCTATTGCAGCAAAATAGTGGCTATTTTTCATTGACTTGGTAAACGCTGGCTATTTTTGATTGACCAGTCCGAAAACTGGCTATACCGTGCTATTTTTACGGGTTTATAAGCAACTGAATGAACGAGCTATGTTCCTAAAAGAAAATAAATAATCAAGATGTGAACGAAGTAGAAGGTAATTACAGCTAAATATCTTAAAATATTAATCGACAATTTAAACGTATACTGTGAGTAACATAGTATCACATATTAAAATTCGTTGAATAAAATAAAATAATCTTTACATTAATAGTATATATATAACTTAAATCATTACGGAATTAGTAAATATCTTTTACACTGTCGTGAAGCTTAAACTTAAAAAGAAAAGAAAAGAAATCTGTTACTCCTTCTTCTTCAATTTAAATGACACACTTTCTTTATTAGTCTGTTCAAAAAAATGACACATTTTCATATTTGGAAACAATTTAACTTTGAACTTTTTATTTTACTCATTTTATCCTTCATGAGAAGCTTTTATAGCCACACAAATATTATGGCCCACAAAGCGTTTGCTCCTTAAGCTTTAAGGACCATATGTTCTAAAAGTCATTTTTTTTTTCTTAAGCTTTGTGTCAAGTCAAACTACATCATCTAAATTAAAATGGAGGGAGTAGATGTATGATAATATAAAGGGTTAAATATATCCTCGTATTATTGAAAATAGTTTAAATATACCATTCATTATATTCTCATTTTGGACGGAATTGCCACGTGGTAGCACATGATCAAATCAGCCCATTTTCCCTTTTTTTAACCCGATTCACTTTCAAAAAAACACTATCCGACCCAAAATCCACCCCCTTACAGATCGAACAATTGCCAACATACAAACCCACATAAGCAGTTTAGACGATACAACATCCAAACCTTCTTTCTAGGTGCAAATTTAGATCCAAAGAAATAATCCCTCTTTCTTTTTTAGTGATAAGAGGAAGCGCAATTATTTTAGTTGCTATCAAGTCAAACTTCCATATCATACTCCCGCAGGAAACAAATGATTCAACTGATCAAAATAATTCACAAACAGGAGGGCAAAAATGATGAATTTATGAAAAAATCTGATCTCATTTGAGAAAAAAATTTAAAAAATTGATTGTAAAATTCCATGATACAAATCTGCAAGTATATGTTGAAAAACTTTCTTGTCAAACAAACTTTTGAAGTCTTCTCAAAAGTCAAAGGTCTCCCACTGTACTTCTTCAATTTGTTACCACCATGAGCAAGTTGAATCGAATGTGCCGCTGTTATTGCAATGAAAGTCGCCTGAGGGGCTGTTACGAAGGCATTAGACACCGGACCAGCGGTCAGAGAGAAAACATGGTGCACAAAGCTCGCCGAAAAATTCTTCGACAAGATTCCGACCATACTCCATGGTCGGAGTTTCAACTATTATTTCGTCTCCCTTCTAGATCTGGTAAATAAATCGAACACATGAAAAAGAGAACAATGGCTAGCTGGAAAATGTATTTCCGGTCAGATCAAGTAAATTTCAAACCCAAAACTTTCAGATCTCCGGCATCTAGTATGTATTTCTCTAGATTCATATATAAATGTGTGTGTAGGTATAGAGAAAGGGGAAGAGAAGGTGTGAGGTGACAAATCATAAGGTTCTCCATGATTTCCGGCGAATTCTCCAATAGAGATTCCAACCATAGTCATAACAGTGATGTAAGAGAGAAAGTGGAGGAAAAGAGGAAAGAGAGAAGCCGTGGGGGTGAACTTTGGGTCGGATAGTGGGTTTTTCTTAAGTGAATCGGGTTAGAAAAAATAAAAATGGGTCAATTTAATCCCGTGCAGCCACGTGGCATTCTGTCCAAAATAAGGATATATTTGTTTCATAGTATAAGGTAGGGTCTAAAATAAACCGATAGTATAACGAAGGGTATACTTAAACTATTTTCAATAGTACAAGAATATATTTGACAATTTTCCGTATTTTTTTACTTAAAATGTAAGGTCCTTAAATATCCATGTCTGTCCCATAATATGAATTTCACCCTTCTCCTTTATACAGATTCACAGACCCTCTATCAAGAAACCAAATCCTAAAGCAAAGCAAAATCCTCGCTACAGAAGATCCCAAACCCCTTTTTTGTTCTCCAAACCCAAAATCTTGAAAACTCCATTTGCCACAAAAGTAATGGAAGTGAAAAAACTTGATATAGAGAGGTACATGGTAAAAGAGGTTAATTTTGAAGGCACTGCTTAGCCTCGTGCATATCGAAATGGAAGGGTATTTTGGTCTAAATAAGTAAAAGAACATTAGATAATTAAAGGCAAAATACATAAACGGCCCCTTCAAGTTGTCCATAACGGTCAGTTGAACACCTCAACTGAGACTATTTCCAGTTAAACACTTCAAGTACTTATAAAGTAGGTCAAGTAAACACCTCAACACAGCAGGCCATATGCATGAGTTGCACTTGCGGATGACATGGCAAATGAACCAATCAAAAAATGACATGTGTAATTTTGTCATAAGAATTTGACACATATAATTAAAAAAAAATATTTGAAAAAGAAAAAAACTTTTCTCCTAAACCAGCGTTCCTCCTTCCCCTAACTCTTCTTCCAAGCTTTCTCAAACCCTTCCCCTTACTCGTTGAACCCATGACGACCATTTCATCTGAAAAAATTGGGCAAAGAAAAATTTAGATTGAACCTTGAAGTGATGAAGATTAATGGCGAAATCTTGAAACTGAAAACACCAGTAACAACGTTGGACGTAGTAAAAGACTACCCAGGTCATGTTTTACTGGAATCAGAAGCAGTGAAGAAGTTTGGTGTCAGAGCTAAGCCACTGAAACCAGAACAAGAACTGAAGCCAAACAAAATATATTTCCTTGTTGAAATGCCTTTGTTTCCTAAAGAAGAAATTAGTAGAGTTCCAAGAAGAGTGAAATCTGCTGTTCAGATGAGTGCAAAGGATCGACTCGAGTGTCTCATGTTAACACGAAGATCGGCTTCTGATTTGTCGATTTCGAAGCCGAATAATGGACCGATTCAGTTGAAAATGAAGCAACCGAGGAGTTTAGTTCAGAAGCCGGTAGAAGAAGGGGAAGTAAAGATGGAGGTATGTGGGTCCACAAAAATAAAGGTTATTTTTTAAACTGAAAAGAAAAAGAAAAGAACACAATTCATGTCCTCACGCGCTCAATTTGTAGTGAGACACAATTGATTTGCCATGTCAGCGCAAAGTGTTTATTTGATATACTTTATAAGTACTTGAAGTGTTTAACTGGAAATAATCTCAGTTGAGGTGTTCAACTGACCGTTGGTTCCGTGGAAATCTTTTTTATCTCGTTTTGTGTAATTCCTTCAAAGTGTTAATTTTACTTATATACTCACTTTGTTTTATTTTTATTTTTGTTCTTATACATACTAAAAAATTCATATTTTAATATTAATTAGTAATAAAATTGATATTTACTATGTATATCTTTAATATGTTCATTGAAAATATTACAAATACTTCGAGACTCTTTACTTCAAGAGCAACTTTGAGAAAAGAAATTAATTCCTTCTTAATATTTAAAAAATCAAATATTATGAATCACAAAAAAAAAAAAAAAACACAAAATCAATTAAAGTGGAGAGGGAGTACGATCTTTTCTATAGAAATAGGTGAAAAATAATGCATGAACTCTGTAAAAATAATAGTAATATTTTCTAATTGTTATGAAATACTTGATTATGGTGGATGTCCATAACTCCTAAGGGAGTAACAGCCACTACTCTTCTCCATTAACCTCCACTACTTCTTACCATTATGGATGTAACTCCCACACCTCTATGATCTTCCCCCATGTTCTCAATAGTTAATACCATGTTTATGGAGTCCCTTTGTATTACCTATATCATCCTATAAATAGAGGGTTTGGGCATCACATTGTACACACTTGAATACATGGAAGAGATAGATCCTCTCCTCTCTTTCTCTCTACATTGTTGTCTATCTTCTTGTTTTATATTATTACTTTGAGCTAAGTTTCGTAACACGTTATCAGCACGAATGTGCTTCTGTTTTCGTACACCACCGTATAGGCATAGACTCTGTGTTTTGCTATCCTTATACCAACAATTCTATGGCTATCAAACTAAATGAAGATGGAAGCTAATGGGTTGGATACTAATAGAAGATAAGTTTTCATCTTTGTAGCTTATTTATATTTTTATTTTTATCTTTCACTAGTCTCAAAATTTATCTATTTTTCCATGATAACTCACAATAAGCTGCTTTCAGTATTTCATTTCCATGTTGTTATAGCTTGAAAGTGCGCAAGTCTTGCGTCGGAAAATACAACTTTTCTCTATTCTTTCATGACGTCTTATATTGAATCTTTAGTTGTCGTTGGGCTATCCTTCAAGGTATCTATTCGTGAACCAAATCAAAATGCATGAATATTTATTTCGTAATTAAGTTTTGAAACAGGTACTCTCTACTCAATTCTTTAACTTACATTTAAAGTGTTAATAGTGCTTACATATATGTGCGCAGATACCAGATAACCAATGTGTCCTTTTCACTTTTCATGCTAAGATAAATGTTACTATGATAATATTTAATAAATAGAACTAAGCTGGTACTATTTCTGCATAGTTGGTTAAATGCATGTATAAAAGAACATAATACTGTTGCAGGATAGTCGTAATCATAACAAGTATTCTTATTTATGGTCAATCTTAGCCTTTGACTATCATCTATAATCTATATATTGTGATGTGAATTGGATCACATGTGTAGATACTGAAAGTACTACAAGAATTATATATATGCTTCCAAGTCCTAATTTTTATTCTTAGTTTATTGAATTGGTTTATCATTTATAAAATTAGTGAACGCTCGAACAGATTATCTAGTATTTATCTGAACGCACTTTTATTTGAATACATAATACTTAGAATGACTGAAACGTTTTCATCCTGCAACCTTAAAAAGTGGTTATTTTTTAAAATCTTGTTATAACTAATTTTTTTTATGTTTCTGACCACAAGATTGATAATTTAATCTTGTACTTTGGCCTGTTATGCAACTAGTTAAGGGTAAGACAACAGATTTATGTTATGGTTCACTATAATGATAAGAGTTGGGTTTGAGTCCCAACACATTTGGCCTAACATGCCTTTATATGGTAAGGCATTGGATTTGAGCCCAATACACCGTATTGATGATATAATGATGACTAAAGAAAAACAATATATTTTTCATGGAAAAGCATGAATCTTGTCCCACTTGATTTGCACCATTCTTGAAGTGAATGTGATAGCGGTGTATAATAAGTCTAAATGAAGACAAGTGGTTGTTCAATGAAAGTGGTGTGCCAAAGACCAAAATAATAATAGTCATCATTATGGTAATCGTAAAAAGGAGAACAATAAGGTTTCTCAAAATAATCCTTCAAAGGTGAAGGAATTGTGTATCAATATGGTCTGTAAATATGAGGCACGCTCAGATGATTATAGTCCTTTTTTTTTTTTTGAAAGAATGCGACTTGTGATAAGCATTGTAAATGTAGACTCATTTCTAAAATGAGTGTAAACATATATATATGATACAAATTATCCACAAGAATGTATTTATGCATGGTTGAATAAATACTACAACTCACCTCTACGGGAGGTTTGAGAGAAAGAGAGATAATGAATATTATTGTGTGATTACATGAATATGTCATTGGTCGCGTACATGTGGTACGCCAAAAAATAATTTGACATGCCTTATAAAAAGTTATTAAAGGCAAAAGTAAAGCAAGAAATGATTTTGCTTATGATGATTTTGACCATGACAATTATTATGATATGATTTTCTCCGTGAAGGAGACATTCACCGTATGGATGGTGTGACAGAAGATCTTGTAGTACAAAATTAATTAAGAGCTCCGGAAGAGCTAATTTGTTACCATCCGGATGAATAAAAATGTTCATGATATTGATATTATAGTACGTCTCAAAAGAAACTTTTTGAGTTTCAAATGTATTAGCCAAAGTGGTTGGCATATTGAGACTATAAATGAAAGGAAAATTGATTATCTTCATATTACTATAACATACCGGGTAAATATAAAAGGTTACCCGACTTTTCTTTTATTTGTACTACAAATGTATAAGCATGCTGATAGAATCACATGCCATAAGTAAACTTGAGGTTTATTGAAACAAATATTAGTTGGCATGACCGGTTGACCATCCCGGTTCAATTATGATGTGAAAATTGATTGAGAATTCACATTGGCATATATTAAAGAAATAGAAGATTCTTTAAGAATTATCTTGTGATGTTTTTTCTCTCATGATATACCAGTTAAGGTTGGGGTTGAATCCCTTGATATTTGGAACGAATAAAAGGTGATATATATGTATGGGCCCAATCACCTGCCATGTGGACCGTTTACTATTATATAATTTTAATAGATGCATCTATTGTATGGTCACATGTGCATGTGTTATCAGCTTGCACATTGGTTTTTGCAAGGTTGTTTGCTCAAATTCTTAGAGCACAATTCCAGAATATATATCATAATAATTTATCTTGATAATGCTGGTTTAAATCCAAGTTGGTTTAGCAGAAATTGTATGCCTCCAATTATAGCTAAACCATTGGTTATGAGAACAAAACTCCCAAATAAAAATTTGGTATGAGGTATATTATTTAATATACAACAACACTTTTACGCATCTAGCCACCAAGTTATGATAAATTCTCCCCGTCACAATTGGTTCACGGTCAGGAACCAAATATTCCCATCTAGAAATATGGATGTGCTATATGATTTAATTGTGCTGCCACAATACACAAAGATGGGTTTCCAAAGAAGGTTGGAAAATGCGTTGGTGATCCCGACATTAGGGGGAGAAAATGGGTAGCTGAAAAAGTGATACGTGAAATGAATTATTATGAATACATCTAGATCCTCGTACAAGAAAATGTGAACTTGAAGTTCAAGTGATAATTCATTTCTAAAATATTTCCAGGCACATTGCTGACCCAAAGCTAAATGTCATATTCCAGCTGCTAATGCTCCAAATAAAATAAAGTCTATGATGGACAGAGTCTATGATACGTTGGTTCCAAAGATAAAACTCCTTGAAGAAGGAGGGAGCAAATGTTCAAGATGGTCATAATAAGGAGGCAAGTGCTTTATAAGAGCACCATGACATAACATTTTATAAGACCTCATGGGAGAGGCTCAGGTACTTGAAAATAATGAGATCTCGATAAGTTATGTCTTTATTGTGCGATGATGGAACCAATGTAAAATGATCGTCGACGATGTTGTTAATATAATGTAGCGCTCAATATTATTAATATTGACGAGGATCTTGAGCTCAAATCTGTCATGGAATTTGGACAGATAAATGATTGGCCAAATAAAAAATATGCAATGAAAATTGACTTCACCTGAAAAATGTGAAGTTGGACAGATAGTCCCCACACCTGAAAGTGAAATGAAAAATCAAGTCGATAGACATAAAGACGACTTGTGGCACAAAATTTTCGTTAATATCCTGGTATTAGGAGACATGTTCTCCTATGGGGAATGGAGTCATTTCAGATGTTGGTCTGACAATAATTTGATATGCATATAATGAAAATCCTTGAATGATTTAAATTGTTGTGAAGCATATTAAGGTTCCCAAGAAATTTATTAAATAAATCTTCGGCAGATCCTTATGTAGATTAGAGCGATCATGGCGTACATGATTTATTTTTGTGTCTAGTGCAATTGGTGCACTAATATATCTGGCTAGAACCATGAGTATAACAATATGCTAGCAAGATATAGTTTTATTTCAATGTGGATATATTGAAATACAATTAGTATTATATTTCAAAAGGAATACTTGATGTAGATTTGTTTATTCTAACAAATATTGCCAAGATTTTTTTGGTTATGCAAATGCAGGCATTTTCCTGAAGTTCGTTCTTCAAACGTTCTATTTGCATGTGAGAGTACTGTCATATTATCATATTACAAGGCAGTTAATTGTTGATACTTATTCAAGTCATGCCAAGATAAGCAACTGATAAAGCAAGGGGCTCAACACACAACAGACGTATGACTTGACTTTGAAGAGATGATTCCAATAATACTGAAGATAATGTTGTTTGCTTATATCAATTGAAAGAAGAATATTGAAGGAGACTGAATAAATCATATATTTCATCAAAGTTCTTTGTCAGACACGATCTTCAACAGAATGATGAAATAGATGTTCAAGAAATTCGTTCAAGTGATAATTTGGCGGAATAATTCACCAAGGCATTGCCGATCTCAATATTAGAGAAGTTGTTAGACAAGCTTGGAATTCGTCGTGATATTTTCATCAGGGGGAGGCATATATGTGCTGTACTCTTTTTCCCTTAGCTAAGGTTTTATCCCACTGGGTTTTCCTGGCAAGGTTTTTAATGAGGCAGCAAATAAAGCGTATTACAGATATGTGTACTCTTTTTCCTTCACTAGGATTTTTTTCCCATAGGGTTTTTCCTAGTAAGGTTTTAACGAGGCACATTATCTTTGGACATCCAAGGGGGAGTGTTATGAAATACTTGATTATGGTGGATGTCCATAACTCATAAGGGAGTAACAGCCACTACTCTTCTCCATTAACCTCCCACTACTTCTTACCATTATGGATGTAACTCCCACACCTCCATGATCTTTCCCCATGTTCTCAATAGTTAATACCATGTTTATGGAGTCCCTTTGTATTACCTATATCATCCTATAAATAGAGGGTTTGGGCATCACATTGTACACACTTGAATACATGGAAGAAATAGATTCTCTCCTCTCTTTCTCTCTACATTGTTGTCTATCTTCTTGTTTTATATTATTACTTTGAGCTAAGTTTCGTAACATCTGTTGGTGTGCATAGGAAATCATTCTGTGTATGTATATTTGAAAGAGAGGAAAAAACTGAATTAATTTTAGTGAAATTTGTTTAAACTCTACGTTTTTTTTTTCTAAAATCAAATTTGTTGTAATTAAAAATACGTTATAAACATGGTAGAAAAACTATTTCACTTCCTATTCCTAAATAGCACAACCACATTCTTTTCCCACGGGAGAAGTATATGTGCAGAAGATTTAAGTTATATACAACAGCAATATAAAAAAATTCTTATACTATTAGGGCTCATTTGGTACGAGGTATAAGGGGTAATTAATTTCAAAATTAAATTTAAGATGAGTTTATCCCGCGTTTGGTTGGGATAAAATCGCGGTATAACTAATCTCGAGATTAATTATCCCGGGATTGTAGTGTTATTTTTATCGCTATGAGAGGATGGGATAATAACCCGGGATAATTAATCTTGTTATAACTTGTTTCCAACCAAGCGAACCCTTAGTTTATTTTAAACCACTATAAAAGATTGCTTTTTAATGGGTTAATCAACTAAAAGGTCTGCATTAATTTCTCAAGGAAAAATAGGAAAGGATCAAGTTACATTGAAATGAACATCAGCAGAACACCTTAAAGATTCACCAATATACAATTGCAAAAAAGCTAATTTCAATAAAGGCAAACCAAAAAGGTTGAAAGCAAACTGATCAACTAAAACACACCCTATATCAGAACTTTTGCCTTTTACTAAACCACCATAACTGTGGACTCAAAATGGTGAATATGCAGTTAATTTGAACTTGAGCGCGGATGTTTGAATTTACTTTTTTTGGTTCCTTCTCTTCCCCTCCCACCCCTTGTCTCCCTCATAGCATAGAACCTGTTGGGTCCTCCCGAACTCTTTGAATCATCCCTAGCTGCACCACGGCCTGCGGGTGGCAGAGTACCTCGAGCTGGAGGAGGTGCTGCAGAAGTGGTGGCTGCTGAACTGGCTGGATGTGCCCATACCCCCTACCAGCGCTCTAACGGGAAGAAGGGCAATTCCTCTGAATATGACCCCCAAGACCGCACCCGTAGCATACAAGATGGTCCATATAGCAGACTCCCGAGTGCATCTTTCCACACCTAGGGCATGGGGCCTCTGCTGTGGCTGGAATCTCCCGCTTGACTGACCCTGTTGATAAGATCCCCTGTTGCCCTGACTAGGCGTGAAGCACTCATTTAGTGCTTAGATGTATATTTTCAGCACTAATTTAAGCAAATTGTTGCTTTTTTGGGACCTGATATTTGATGCAAGTACTAATATATTTCATATTAGCAAAACCCAATTCTTCAAGTCTCCGAGGTTGTTAAGTTTCTTTCTCATTTTGCATTTGGGTGTGTCTGATAGGATAAAAGTTATTTTTCATGAATAATATTTGTCATAAAAATGTTTCCCTCAGAAACGATAAAAATATTTTTTTAGTATTTTATTGGTTAAAAGAAATTATTTTTCAAAAAAGATATAGGGACCGAAATTTAATTATTATGTAATATTTCTTATTCCAGCTCTAAGTTGGTTAACATGGAAGAAGAGATATAACTGTTACTTATAGGGTGGAAGATAGTAAATATTCAAAGTGTAGGCGCAAATTAACTCAAACACCATCATTATAAAACTTTTAAAAAAAATAATTGTCGCCAAGTAGTAAAGGGGAACCATCATACTGAGAAAAGATTATTAAAGAAAAGTAGTAACTAGCAAGATGCTGCTTTTCTAACGTCCAGACTGCAAAGATTATTAAAGAAAAGAATCAGATTAGAGAAAAGTATTTGAAATTGAGGCACATTTAAGGGCGATGTGCACAGATAGCCATTAATAACACATGTCTTTACTTTTAAGCCACTATTTTAAATGTCTTTAGTCTTTAGCCACCGCTTTAATAAACTTTTATCCGCCCGGACGAAAATACCCTTCTGTTATAAGGATTTGGCTTATACCTACGCTCCTTATTAACGATCAGCAGCAGCAGCTCAAACTTACGTAAGTAACTTGCAAATGTTGTGATCGTCCAGAATTGCAGAAGCTTCTCTTCCGATTTCAAACTAGAAAATTCAACTTTCTCGTCCGAAATTCACCGTAAAATTACAGTAAGTTCTAATGTTTGAGATATATCTTTATGCTTTTATGTGTTTGTGTGGATTTTTATTTCGTTACTAGGAATTTGATTATTTTTGCTTTTCTGGATTAATAACGTTAAGGACATCTCGTCCTTAACTCTGTGATTATTCTATAAATATTGAGGACATAATGTTAAGAATTTGGTGTCCTTAACATGACTGTTGTTCTGAATATTAAGGACATAGTGTCCTGTTTTTGCAAATTGTATTGAAAAAGTTAAGGACACGATGTCCTTAACTTTTTTGCTGTTGTTCTGAATATTAAGGACATAGTGTCCTTACTTCATGACTACTATGTAAATATTCAGGACATAGAGTACCTTAACTTCATGACTGTTCTAAATATTAGGGACATAGTGTCCTATGTTTTGCAAGTTCTATTGATAAAGTTTAGGACATCGTGTCCTTAACTTCACAATTGTTGTATAAATATGTCCTGAATTTCCCATTTTTTGATTTTCAGGATGGAAACAATATGTATTATAGTTGCTTTTAATGGTAGATGGACTGCAGACTATAAGTATCTTGATCATCAAACAAAGCTTGTTCTAGTACCTGAGGCAATTCGATTTGAAGATTTCATTAAACAGGTCTTTGAAGTTATTGAATTGGATAGAGACAAGTTTGAAGCAATGATATGGTTTGATATCAACCTGGGAACAAGCAAGGGAATGCTTGTATCCAAGGATTTAGATCTTCACACATGTATAGAGTTACTAAAAAGTCATTCACTCTTCAAGGGCTGTCGTTTCACTGTTGATGTTTCGGAAAGAGCTTTTGGTTCTACAAGCACCTTTGAACATGTCAATAGAGAAAATCAACATGACAATCAAGACAAATGCCAACAGATAATGGAAATAGATGTGGTTGAAGCTCAACCAATAACTGAAGAGATGCTTCAAACATTTGATTCTATTCAAGTGGAAGGACAAAACATTACAGAGATTGACAACGAACAAGCTTTGGGTATTCAAGTCTTAGAGAGTGCACCGGTAATAGAAGAAGTTGCTAAAAAAACCTCTACTCAACTAACAGACGAAGCTCGAATTCGAAACAAAAAGAATCCCCAACTACGATATTAAGAGAAAATGCTTCGTTGGATAAAATAAAAGTGGGATCAATAGTTGACAAAAAAAGAGTATAATTAACTGTTTTTCGAATATAGCAATTAAAGGACATTTTGAATTCAAGGTTGTTAGATCAATCTCAACCAGATATTCCTTGAAATGCAATGATGATAGGTGTGGGTGGTGTGTGCGTGCTTTCACAATTAAATATCCAACACTGTTCAAGATTGTAAAGATTGAGAAGAATCATGACTGCTCAGTTAACACTATGAAAGCTGTTCAAAGGCATGCAACTTCAAAGTTGATTAGTGCTACATTATTGACAATCTTCGAGACCCAAGGTTTGAAGTTACACCAGCCTTTGTCATGGCAGAAATGCAAAAATGCATGGACTAGACATTGGTTATCACAAGGCGTGGCATGCTATTCAACGTGCTTCAACTTTAATAAGAGGAACTCCTGAAGAGAATTATGAATTATTGTCTTCATACTTGTATATAAGGAAAAGTAAAAAGCTGGGAACATATACTAACATAAAGATAGACGACAACAACAGGTAAACAATCAAAAAGAGTTTATTGGTCTGTTTTATAAACTTTAGGACATGGTGTCCTTAACTTTGACATGTGCGGTGAGAAAGTTAAGGACATGGTGTCCTTAACTTTGATGTGTGCAGTGAAAAGGTTAAGGACATGGTGTCCTTAACTTTAATGTGTGCAGTGAAAAAGTTAAGGACATGGTGTCCTTAACTTTGATATGTGCAGTGAGAAAGTTAAGGACATGGTGTCCTTAACTTTGATGTGTGCAGTGAAAAAGTTAAGGACATGGTGTCCTTAACTTTGATGCGTGCAGTGAAAAAGTTAAGGACATGGTGTCCTTAATTTATGTTCTTGTAACTCTAAGTTAAGGACTACTTGTCCTTAATTTCTGTGCTTGTAACTCTAAGTTAAGGACTAACTGTCCATAATTTGTGAGCTTGTAACTTGAACTTTAGGACTACCTGTCCTTAACTTTTGGACTTGAAACTCTAAATTCAGGACTACATGTCCTTATTTTTTGAACTTGTAACTCTAAGTTCAGAACTACATGTCCTTAATTTCTGTGCTTGTAACTCTAAGTTCAGGACTGCCTGTCCTTAACTTTTTAACTTGTAACTCTAAGTTAAGGACTACCTGTCCTTAATTTCTGTGCTTGTAACTCTAAGTTCAGGGCTTCCTGTCCTTAACTTTTTAACTTTTAACTCTAAGTTCAGGACTACATGTCCTTAACTTTTGAACTTGTAACTCTAAGTTAAGGACTACCTGTCCTTAACTTTTGAACTTGTAACTCTAAGTTAAGGACTACATGTCCTTAATTTGGTGTCCTATATTTTTAACCTTCTGTTATACTGTATTTTCAGGTTTCTTTATATGTTTTATGCATATGGATCATTAATAGCTGGTTGGAATCATTGTAGACCAGTGATTGCTGTTGATGCAACTTTTTTGAAGTCAAAATCGTGGTGTTTTAATGATTTCAGTTTCAAAGGGTGCAAATAACCAAATATTTCCACTAGCCTTTGGAATTCCAGAATCTGAAAATAACAATTCCTATGAGTGGTACTTTAGTGTGCTTCGCAATGCAATTAGGAGCCGTGACAATTTAATTTTTTTATCAGACAGGCATCAATCTATATGCACATGGCATTGCAAAGGTATATCCTGAAAGCCACCATGGGATTGTATCTATCATTTGGAGCAGAACCTAAAGCGAAGGAAAGTGAAAAGTGAGGTCATAAAACTTTTCCAAAGTGCTGCAAGAGTATACAGGCGCAAAGAAGTTGATCTATACACGTCAGATATAGCAAAAGTTGATAAGAAGACTTTTGACTACTTGATGGAAGAACCACCGGAAAGGTGGGCACGTTCTTGTAGTCCACGACGAAGATATGACATGCTCACAACAAACATAGTTGAGTCAATAAATTATGTGCTATTAGAAGCAGTGGAGCTGCCTATATTAAGAATGATGGATTTCATCCAAGTGAAGCAACAACGTTGGTTTTATGAAAGAAGAAATGAAGCAGAAGGAACGTTTTATGACGTTTCTTGTTGGGTAGAAAAGGAATTGAAGAAAAAGATAGATTTAGCTTTTACTTTAAATGTAAGTATTATATTCTTTGTTTAGCTTATTATTGTAATGATAATTTAACATAATGTACTAACTCATAATTTTTCAACATTGAAGGTCTTCCCTGTTGATTCATGGCGTTCTAGAGTTAAGGAAGAAGGAATTACTTTCTTGGTGGACTTAAACAAAAGAACATGTGATTGTTATCAGTTTCAATTTGATAAATTACCATGTATACAAGTAATTGCAGCTATCGAGAAGAGAAACATCAAGAAGTCCAATTTCTGCTCGCACTGGTACTTAAAGGAATCTTGGCTTAAAACATATGAAAGACAAATACATCATGTAGGACATACTGATTCTTGGATTGTACCAGAGAGTGTTAAGTCACAAATTATTAAACCTCTAGATTTAAAAGTGCCGCTAGGTAGAAGGCAGAAGAAAAGGCATATTCCAGCTACTGAGTCATCAAAAATAACATTCAAATGTGGTCGTTGCAGAAGAATTGGTCATAATAGAACATCATGTATATATTCTCCGGCAGTCCATCCATTTTCAAGGAAGCATAGAGAATAATAGATATATCCACTTATGTTTGTCTACTCTTTTAAGTTTTTGCTATAAATTGGATTCATTTAGATTGTTTTTATTTGAGCAGATGTTTATATAAAAGATGTCCTGAATTTTCAAAGTTTCTTTGCGCTTATGTGCTCTTTGTTTCTTTTTCTTTTTTTGGGCGTTCAATTTACCTTTGCCGGACCAATTATTGTTTATGGGATTTTACTCTTGTTGTAAGTTAACAAGAAAGTCTTTTCCTTTATAGAATTTGACGCCTCCAGCTTGATACATCTTTATTTTTAAAATCACATTAGTACAAGTAAAAGTTAAGGACATAGATTTCTAAAAGTCCTGAAAATTTGAATTATGAATCTAATATTAAGTATATAAATTTCTAAATGTCCTTAACTTCTAGAAATCTCGGATTATTGTCTAGATTTTCAGAAGTTCAGGACATTTCAGAAAAATAGTCCTGAACGTACAGTTACAAGTTCAAAAGTTAAGGACACTTAGTCCTGAACTTAGACTTACAAGACACTTAGTCATTAACTTAGACTAACAAGCTAAAAAGTTAAGGACAATTGGTCTTGAACTTAGAGTGAAAGTTCAAAAATTAAGGACAGTTGGTCCTGGAGTTAGAGTTGCAAATTCAAAAATTAAGGACATGTAGTCCTTAACTTACAGTTACAAGTTCAAAAGTTAAGGACATTTGGTCCTGAACTTACAGTTACAAGTTCAAAAGTTAAGGACAGGTAGTCCTTAACTTACAGTTACAAGTTCAATAGTTAAGGACACTTTGTCCTGAACTTAGACTTACAAGCTCAATACATTTAATTTAGGAATTACAAATGGACAAATCAATAGTTAACAGAAAGAAAGAAATTAATAACATGATGCCTTCATATTACTGCAGATACTATCATTTGGCATAGCTATGACCAAAAAATTATGCTATGCAAACAAAATAAAAGTGCCATGTGAACAATTTACAGGATATTTCAGAATTCATATGGATTCTTTACAGCAATTTTATACCAAATTCAATAACATCTGACTTTCTTTGCAACTAAACTACAACTCCTTTTGGCAGGAAGTTTCATTTTCACTATCATAGCCGTCGCCGACATTTTCTGGTGGTGTATCATAATAAGAATTTCTTTTCCACTCTCCATGTGCCCAAAGATTTGCTGTAAGTTTTTTTCTAAAGTTTGTTATGTCTTCAGGTTGGAATTTCTCCACATCATCTCCCATCATCAACAACTCCACATACTTGATTAGGAATGCACCACAATCAGTCCTAAGAAAAATGTAAGATATGGAGTCAATTAAATAATATCTTTAATAAAGTAAATCTAAAGTACATATAAATTATAAGCAAATGACAACACGTACGATCCAGAGTGGTATAGTGATCTTTGCCATTAAATATCAAATTTGATGAATGCATTTCTAAAAGACTTGTGATTTTTCTCAAACTGTGAGAACTTTAGCAAGTGGGGGATCATGCATGCATACATTTCAATGTGATTCATTCCTTTCTCATATGGCTCACTATATATGGAATCATACACATCAATCTTTCTCTCATTCAAGTCCAATACCCCAAAAGAAAATGTGTCATAGCATCATTATCTTTTGAAGGAAGCCGACATGGAAAAAAGATTTTGTCAACCTCTGTCCAAGAAATTCCACATCTACGATTGTCACCCCACACATATAGTGTCAGAACCAATTGATTATCACCACACCAAAACTCATTTGTAGCATCTTCATTGAAATCCTTATACACAAGTAACATATAGTTATCAAAAAGTATATCTGTAGTTGTGAAACGAAAAGGATGGGCGCAAGGGTGGTAGCATTCCTTCTTTCTCAAATAATACATGGCAATGTCAATATGCTTCATAAAAAGGCAAAAAAAAAATCCATCAATCATAAATAATTGAAAAACAATAAATTAAGAATAAAGAAAAAAAATGCCTTGTGAGTTATCAAACCTTATCATCAAGTACAAAGCTACTATCTGAAAGCTCAAGGAAGAACACTTTGCTACTGATTTTTTGATGGTACAATTTATATGTATTCTTTCTCACACCATTATCGTCAGCATATATATCAGTTTGTCCCCTGAAAATTTTAAAAATATCAAAGTTAGAAGTTAGTCCTCAATTCCTAATTAAGGACATCTAGTCCTGAACTTACAATTACAAGTTCAAAAATTAAGGACAGGTAGTCCTTAACTTACAGTTACAAGTTACAAAAGTTAAGGACCATTGGTCCTGAACTTACAGTAGCAAGTTCAAAATTTAAGGACACTTGGTCCTGAACTTACAACTACAAGTTCAAAAGTTAAGGACATGTAGTCCTTAACTTACAGTTACAAGCTCAAAAGTTAAGGACACTTGGTCCTGAACTTACAGTTCAAGTTCAAAGTTAAGAAAACTTGGTCATGAACTTAGACTTACAAGCTCATAAATTAAAGGACAATTAGTCTTGAAGTTAGAGTAGCAAGTTCAAAAATGAAGGACAGATAGTCCTTAACTTACAGTTACAAGTTCAAAAGTTAAGGACACTTAGTCCTGAACTTAGACTTGCAATCTCAAAAGTTAAGGACACTTAACTTTAGGACTTGAAAGCTCAATACACTTAGTCCTAAATTTAAAATTACAAGTTCAAGTACGAATGTAAGCAATTAAGAAATAATGAATACATTTAGGGACTTACGCTTTTTTGCGACCTTTCCTTTTCTCCTTGCCCAACCATCCAATGAATTTCTTCAATAAGTTTTCATCATCTTTGGCATAATGAAAAATACATGTACGAGTATATTTTTTTTGATTTTATCCAGCCCGTATACTTGGGAGTATTTTTATTGTGCGCCATCGATGTTCTTGTTTTTCTTTTCTGTTCAAAAGAAGATATCAATTGCCAACTAAGCTTCTTACTCCTTTTCCCTAGACCAAGATCTTCTTCAACATTTCCTTCAACCTCCATAGACAAACCCTATCAATGCTCATTTGTGTAGTTGGAGGAGTAGGGTAAGAATAGCAAATGATGGACCATCAAAACCAATACTATCTCTCTTCCTTTTCCTAGTATATTGGTTAACGGCTTCATCTTTATTTTGCTCTGCAAACAACACTATATATACATTAGTTTGCTGCAAGTCGTCAATTCTACGACAAATTGTTAAATGAAGAGACAAAAACTAAGGACATAATTTTTGAAATGTCCTGGCGATTTGAATTATGAATACAATATTAAGGACACAATCAATACCTGTGTTGGCCATGCTGCCTTCTTGTATTTCTTCAACAGACAATCGAGCTGACATATCGGTTGCATTTTCTTTATCTTGCAACTGTGCATTTTCTTTATCTTGCAATTGTTCTCCATGTTCTTCGATTGCAAGTTCACAAGATTCTGCAAAATATTTACAAGAGCTAACACAATTAGTACTTGTTACTAATCTTTGATTAAAACAAATATGTATAAGATTAAAAAAACTCCGTCTAACCTTTTGCAACTGTCAAGATCATGCCAGTTATATCATTATCTTGATTCTTGAATAGCATTTTCTTGGCTTTCAATATTGTCGGTAAGAGAGCGAGGTGTAGAGAGATCATATGTTCCTTCTATACATTTGCAAATAATCTCACTTATGCTTGTTCCTTGGGTATTTTCTAAGTCTTGAGATTGTCCTCCACTTCTCTCTTGATAGTCCACTCCATCTTCTTTCCTTGCAGCTTCAAAAGATTCTGTAACATTTACAATTAATACTTGTTACTAATAGTTTACTAAAACTAACATTCAACATATCATGAAAGTTTTATCTAACCTTGATTGACATCATTTTGATTTCTAAATTTCTCGTTAAGTGAGAGAGGTGTAGAGAGATCATATATTCCTTCAACACATTTGCATACAATCTCACTTATACTTGTTCCCAATGGATTTTCTAAATCCTGAGATTGCACTCTACATTTACAAATTATTTCTGTTACTCATGTCTCATTTGGATTTTCCTGGTCTTGACATTCCACTCCATCTTGAACTTCCACTCCATCAATAGATTCTACACACATTTGTAATCACAAAAAAGTTTATATGTATTACGCTATTGAATATAAATTTCAATGACAACAAATTCAAAATCTATATCTAACCTTTCCCAATTTCAATGCCAATATCAATTTCATCTTCTAGATGCGCATCTCTATAATCGCTTTCATAATGATCTTCTACATGCACATTTGTATCATCACATTGATCATCAGCTGCATGTTTGTTAATTGGAACACTAGGTTCTGTATCATCACATTGATCATCAGCTGCATCTTTGCTAATTGGAACACTAGGTTCCCTCTCTATGGTCCTTTCATGAGGTTTGACAAGAAGCTTCAACAAAGTATCAATCTTTGATCCTAAGTTTTTCTTTAAATCTTGTGAGAGAGTATTTAAAATAAGAATCAGAATTAGCATAGAGATACAAGCACAGAAATTAAGGACAAGTGTTCCTTAACTTAGAGTTACAAGAACAGAAATTAAGGACATGTAGTCCTGAACTTAGAGTTAAAAGTTAAAAAGTTAAGGACAGGAAGTCCTGAACTTAGAGTAAAAGCAAAGAAATTAAGGACACTTGGTCCTTAACTTAGAGTTACAAGCACAGAATATAAGGACATGTAGTCCTGAACTTAGGGTTTCAAGTTCAAAAATTAAGGACATGTAGTCCTGAACATAGAGTTCCAAGTTCAAAAAATAAGGACATGTAGTCCTGAACTTAGAGTTCCAAGTTAAAAAGTTAAGGACAGGTAGTCCTTAACTTAGAGTTACAAGTTAAAAAGTTAAGGACACTTGATCCTTAACTTAGAGTTACAAGCATAGAAATTAAGGATAACTAGTCCTTAACTTAGAGTTACAAGAACAGAAATTAAGGACAGGAAGTCCTGAACTTAGAGTTACAAGCATAGAAATTAAGGACAGGTAGTCCTTAACTTAGAGTTACAAGCACAGAATTTAAGGACATGTAGTCTTGAACTTAGAGTTACAAGTTCTAAAAACAAGGACAGGTAGTCCTGAGCTTAGAGTTTGAAGTTCAAAAAATAAGGACATGTAGTCCTGAACTTAGATTTCCAAGTTCAAAAAATAAGGACATGTAGTCTTGAACTTAGAGTTACAAGTTAAAAAGTTAAGGACAGGTAGTCCTAAACTTCAAGTTAGAAGTTCAAAATTTAAGGACACTTGGTCCTTAATTTAGAGTTACAAGCACAGAAATTAAGGACAGGTAGTCCTTAACTTAGAGTTACAAGAACAGAAATTAAGGACAAGTAGTCCTGAACTTCGAGTTCCAAGTTCAAAAGTTAAGGACATGTAGTCCTGAACTTAGAGTTACAAGCTCAAAAATTAAGGACGTGGTGTCCTTAACTTAGAGTTACAAGCACTGAAATTAATGATATTACCTTGATGTCATTTTGAATCTTTTTTTTTCCTGATATAGCTATTTTTTGATTTATTCTAGTAACTTCTGCCTGCATATCCTTCTTGAACTTCTCCGATAATCTCTGAATCAAAAACCATAAAAATAAAAAAGTCTCTTAAGCAAAAATAACCAAATAAAAAACTAATGCTATTCAAAGACAGAAAACCTACGTTAACAATTTCCTTAAGCAAAACTTCATCAAATTGTGTGGAAGTCATTGAACTTTGATCTTGAGACAATGACTCATGCACACTAACGGGCTCCGCATCTTCTTCACAAGAAAGAAATGGTGCCACCTCCAACTGATACACCTATTATATAAGGGAAAAAAACGTAAGTTTTCAGAACTAAAACACATAAATAAATAAAAATAGCTAGTAATCAGATTAACTTACTTTTTCATTATGGAAGTATTTTTTACACAGGGTATCATAATGTGGAGATTTCATATCTGAATAACATAGCATCCGAGGGAACCCACATTCTCTGAAGTTCACAAATTGTTTTTCCTGAAAAATTGAGAATAATTCCATATTCCAAACACAGAAGGCGAAAGGGAAGCCAAGTATAGTATAACTGTCCTTGTCTTTATCTTTTTCTTTCTCTTATCATTCTCATTCTCATTGTCTGAAGTATTTTGTTTGGGATTCAAGCAACTCTTCAATGATTTTACTAACTTTTCATAACAAAGAGAGCCCAACTGAAAGAAGAGCAGAGTTTATCGTCATCTACAATTTTCATTACCCGCTCAGACACATTCCGATTCTTGCGCTTCCCCATCAACACAGATTCAACAAAAGAAATTGTTGCCGACTTCACCGCATCATCATCGCTGCCTACAAATGATGCAGTTGTACCGTCTGGGTGACTAGTAATAAAATGCAACAAATCGCCTAACTCGATTCTATCCTTTCCAGGAAAGTAGACTTTCGAAAGCCTATTCTCTCTTTCACTCAAAATTTTGAAGTCCACTGAAGAAGAACATTTCAACCCAGTAATTATATGGAACGCTTCACGTGTAAACTTCACTTCATGATCAAAAACCTTGAATGTCATTGAATTCGGGTCATTGCTTACAATTTCTAAAAGCAACACACAATGAATAAGTTTACCACAAAACTTCACACCTTGTAATCAAAATAGTTTCCGAAAACACTATCCCTCAACTTTTTCCATTGCGTGTTCGAGAAGAAACTTTTTATTGTTTCCTTAAATTGAAAATCTCCTTTCAAATAGCTCATCGAATTACGCCAAACATCAAACTCGAAAACACGATCTCCTTCCATTAGCACACTACAAAGAAAGAAAAAGAACATAAAAAATTAGGACTATTTTTCTAAAATGTCCTTATTATTTAAACTAAAAAACTAAAATCCAGGACCTAAGTAGATGCATCTTAAATAGAAGAACAGTTAACTAAAATTAGCTTACAGATTCCTAGGACTATTTTTCTGATATGTCCTTAATATTTAAACTAAAAAACTAAAATCCAGGACCTAAGTAGATGCATCTTAAATAGAAGAACAGTTAACTAAAATTAGCTTATAGATTCCTAGGACTATTTTTCTGACATGTCCTTAATATTTAAACTAAGAAACTAAAATTCAGGACCTAATTAGATGCATCTTTAATAGAAGCACAGTTAACTCAAATTAGCTTACAAATTCTTAGGACTATTTTTCCGAAATGTTCTTAATATTTAAACTAAAAAACTATAATCCAGGACCTAATTAGATTCATCGTTTATAGAAGCACAATTAACTAAAAAATCATAAACACAGTTAGCTTACAAATTCTTAGGACTATTTTTATGAAATGTCCTTACATAATCAAATATATTGATTGAACCACAAACACATTTCAATATCAAAAAGTTTTGAATAACTTCCTCACAAAAATCCGCTCCTTATTCCATACTGAATCAAGTTATAATCATTATTTTCGACATTTCACACATACTTGATGACAAACACAACATTAATCGCGATTAGAGATATACAAAAAGAAAAATGCAAAAAAGCAAAATAAAAAACATACCAGTTCGTTGGTTCGATGCAGAGAAGATGACAAAGGAAAAGAGATTAAGTGGAACAAACTGCACGCAAAGAATTGCTGGGCAGGAACAAAATCGAAAAAAGATTTGCATGCAAGGAACGATACTGATACTGAGGGAGCGAAATTTGCCTCTAAATTTTGTCTCTCAAATTAAAACCACAGAACCGTATAAAAGAAGGGTTTGGGAATAAACGAATAGAAGAAAGGGTTTGGGAATAGAAGAAAGGGTAAAATTGTCTTTTCAAAATAATTTTAATATAGTAGTGACTATTTTTGCTCAACATTAGAATTGGTGGATAAAAAATAAACATCACCTTATTTAGTGGCTACCACACGCCATTTTTACCACATTTAACTATGATTAGAGGCGACTCAATAAAATCGGTGGCCGAAAATCAAAACTAAATAGGATACCACTTAATAATAAAATTCATCAATATTTTTAATTAAAGTTACTTTTGATTGAAATTTTAAGTTCACTCCTCTAATTTTTTGAGATGCAAACTTCTAAATTAATCTTTTTAAAAATTAACTTCTTCAAATATTTGATCATACTTTGGGAACATACAGTAGCCGAAAAAGTATATAAAATTTTTGTATATAACATACAAAATATACATTTTTTTGGCTATTATTTTGAAAGCGGCTATACAGTGTCATTTTAAGTACAAGTACATAATCCACTGATTTCAAATCTCAAAGCGAAGATTGAAAAGAGCAAAAAGGTACAGTGTGTATATTCCTACCAAGACAGGCATTTTTACAAGGTGGATTGGCTGCAAAACTCTTTGTACTTTAGATACATGAGGCACATTCACTCTTCACAAAACATTTTCTTCTTCAGTCCACTACCAACCAAAGATCACCCCTAGGAGAATGCAGACACAGTACTATGGTAAACCCACCCAACAACAAGAAAGAACAAAATGGCCTAAAATTTTGAATAATGAAACAAAAAAGTGGAGCCCAGGCATGGATGTCGGAATTGTGTAACGGGGGCAAGGTTCCCAAGGAGCAACCTTCAGCCAGCAGTTTCAGAGAGTTGTTGCAACTTCTTTTCTTGCTTCTCTGACCGCTTCTTCGAACAGACAGCTTTTAGGCACTGCACTCATGTAAGTTTTCTCCTGACTGGATGATATCCTCTTTTTTTCTACATTCAAGTTGTAATTGCGGAGGATTTCATTCTCATTTCTGCTTCATCAGGCTCAGGAGAAAATCTGTAAATATGTGCTCATATTCTGGCATTTTCCCGTACCCTGAAGTTTATATAGCAAAGAATTGTCACAATCATTGGTTTCAAGGAATGGTGGATAATGTTAAAACGAAACTGGTATATGCCAAGGGAAAGTTAAGTCTACTGATGACGACGCAACTTACCAGGAAAGTAATTGATATCTATCACGTAATAGCGGTCTTTAGTCCCATGCTCTCTAATTATATCCAAGTTGAAGAGCCTGAGACCCTGCACGACACATTGCAATAGAACTTTAAAACAACACATTATGAAGCTGTAGAACAAGAACTTACAGATAAGAACACACGGCATGTACAGGAAGCCAACGCAGTCGCTTCCTTTATTATTGTTCCTTGTGGAATAGAGAGAAAATGAACGGAGAAATACCAGTCTACGACGAAGTTCCCTAGCAAGCCTCTCAAGTAATGGTCGGGGAGGAAGCTCTGCAGAAGATAAATACAGATAAGCTAACACCATTTCTGACACTTTGCATCAAAAAATTACAAGCCCTACAAGTAGATACTGGTGATAAAAGCAACCAGAGTAAATATAGGCGTTTCAAACTCATAAAGCTAGTATCGACCAAGGTAAATACTAAATAGCAGATCAATGGTCCTAACCAACTACGGCGATGTTAAATATATTAGAGAGTAGGTCCGAAAGCACATAATTAAGAGCTTAAAGGTAATTTGGTTAGCAATAGCATTGCAGTTTCGCAGATAGCTGAGATTGTTTGAAAATGTCTCCTTCTCCATATACTTTTCCATCCTATGTATGTTTCTCATAATGCAAATAAGAGAGGAGCCCAATGAAAATCTCACATAACGACAATTGTTTTAGTTAAATGACAACCGTAGTGAATGTCAAATTAATCCCAAACGAAATGACGTAGACACTTTGCACAATTCTTCTGAAGTTATGTGACTAGAAATTGATTTAGGGGCAAAGCTAAGAAGGGTTTATGTGAGACATAACATAACAATTCTCCAATTTAATTGAGTTAACAAGATTAGGTGACTGGAGCAATCAACAGCTCAATCAGTTTAAGAAATTTTGGAAGTGTGTGAAGACCGTGGGGCTAAAGATAATAGTGATTATTTCAGTACTAATTCTGATAACACACGTTATTTTTACACTTGTTCTTGTCAAGCATTTTTGTTTTCAGGTTAAAATATGTCAAACTCGCAAAACGCACCCGTACACGGTGATGGGGGTCTTGGATTTCTCTAATTTTCTTCCAATCGATTAGCACCAAGCACTACTATCTTTGGTATCGACCTATGTGCATTGCCTTGATCAATATCGCTCCTTGAAGAATGAAAAATCCCGTGAGAAATACTGGTATCAATGGCAATGGTACAATGGAATATTGCATTTATGGCTAATAATTCTATGGCTCAAAACCTAACCAGTGGAATTACATGTGCTACGAATGCTCATACATTCTAGGAGGATCTAGAAGAGAGATTTCTACAAAGTAAATGGCTCTCGAACCTTCAATTAGACATAGAAACTGCAATCCTAACTCAAGGCACCTCATATATTTCGATCTAGTACTCGAAGTTAAAGGATTTATGGGATGAATTTATGGTATTGGTGCGCTTGACTGGTTGTAATTATTTTGTCACTTAGCTTTCAGAGCTAAGCCAACTGATTCACTGGTCATCCTCTCTCCCGCTACTTAGACCAAGACTCTTCTTCCAAACTTGGGCTATCAAAATTTTATTCTTGTGGTACACAGATCAACCCGTCTTTTTTTCCTGTTCATATGATAGAATTAACTAAGTCCTTTCCTATTCCTCATGTAATTTTGCAATTTCATCCATAAACTGATACCTTTGCAAGGTAATATCTCAACCTACTGGCAGCTACGTGCAAAAATGGATAGTAAAAAAAGTTGCTATTAGGTATTGAGTGTTTCTTCCTACGGCATGATGTGCTTTCTAATTTTGAACTTTTAGATGCACTGCACTATCTCTAAAAGTCGTGGTACGCTCGAGGTGACATTCAAATTGTTCAGTTTAGATATCCTTGCTAAAATTGACCTCAAAGATGGATGATAGTCTATTAGATGGATGAAGATCTTTGAAGTCCTCCACTTGTTTGCTATGTTGTGCGGACTCTCCAAAATGTAGCCGCACCCGTGTCGGATCCTTCAAAAATGCACTACTTTTGGAGGATCCGACACGTATCCGGCCACATTTTCGGAGAATCCGAGCAACATAGCTTGTTTGAGAACAAGGAATCAAATGTTCAAAATTTTTATATGCTTCAAGCAACAAAGAGTGAGCCATATCTATGTTCCAAACAGTGTCTTATATCTAAAGCGCGCTAAATACTTTCCAGTATGTATAGTATAATGTAATTAAATTCATACGAAAAAATGGCTCACCACCAACACAAGGGTCTAAATCAGCTTCCTCTGCAGAGGCTGCAACACATGAAACTCTAGGGAAATGGAAAACCCCAGCACTTTTTGACAGCTCGAGTTTGCTAACATCAGGTAAACTGAAACGCCTGACAACCTTAACAGCTTCCCCAACAATAAAAACCTTAAAGAGCACACCTCCTACAGCCACAAAATTTACAAAGAATCACCACCTCACTAATTCAGGCAAAACTACATACGAGAAAAACAAATTTAACCTGAAAATGAACACATACCATGATTGATAAATTCCTGCAGAACAAGCGGGGGTTCAAGCTTCTGAAGAGAGGGTGTATCATAGGCCAGGGACAACTCATGTGACTTTGCAACCAAAGGCTTCGCCACTGAGAGCATAAACAACTTCAATCAGATAAAAGAACGGCCGCAAAAAACAATTAATCTATCCCTATGCTGCCGACCATTTTATTCATAGATTTGTATCCACAGCTAGTAAAGATCCGATGGCTAGCCCCTATCTTCGCCGAGGATATAAGCTTATAAGAGTTATGGAAGTCCCAAGAACTGGCTATAGATCAGCTGAGCAATCGTAAATATGCAACAACCAAATAAAGACATACCAAGAGGTAGGGCAAGACCAGCTTTATTCACTGCATCTGAGATGGATGAAGGATCAGTCTCAATTACCAACTGCCTCGGAACACCAACTGTGCCTGTCATGCAGTCAAAAACATGTTACTCATTGTTTCAGTATCTACGGAACTGTAAATTGACTATCTTTGTGCACACAACTAATCAACAGACGACCCTTTTTAGAATAATGCAGCAACTGCATACTTATCGTAAGTTCATAACAACAGTTATCGCAGGTCATCTACAAAAGAGAAAAAATTACCATAGCTGTCTGATAAGTTCAGGTCTGCAACATCTTCAAGCATGTATTGGCGATTATATACCTGCTCTATGGCATCTGGAGGGTCAAGGACTGCGACATGTGGATGTGTTTGCCTATAATCCTATCCATTGAAAAAGTAAAGTAGTTAGGAGAAGAATCACAGGGAGTTTCCATATGCACCCCTTTAAACTAAACTGATCAGAGGATCTAACAGAGAAAGCAAATGAAAGAAAGTTATTCTAGACGGATAACAAAAGACCAAAGCTGCACTATAAATAACAAACATTTAAAAATATTAATTAGGAAAACTCTCTCCTCTTTTGATAACGTAGGTAAATTCTCTCCTCTTAAAGCTAATATAAGCATTCTTTTTTGAAATGGTTACTCCTTTTTTTTGAAATGGAAGGCTAATATAAGGATTCACAATGAGCTTTGGAAAAAGGAATCACTTTATGAAGCTAGGAACCCTCTCCAGTAAACCAGCTAACAGCTATAAAAGAGAAAGATCCTCACTTGGCTGGAAGCACAGGCCTTCCACCTTAACTATCGACTCATGACTCATAATGGTAGAAAGAGCAAACAGTTTGCAGCTTATGTGTGATGGGAATAAGTACAAGCAAAAACCAGCGGGTTGCCCACCAACCACTGCCAAAAATATTGCCCCCTAAGATATCTACAAATTTGTAATAACACATATCAATTGTTATTTATATACAGGATTCTATTTACAAAAAATTGTTATATACAGGATTCTATAACTAATGCAGACATAGCCGAGGGTCTAATAGGAAACAGCCTCTCTGCCATTCCACAGTAGGGGTAAGGTTGCGTTACATCTTACCCTCCCCAGACCTCACTTGTGGGAAATTACTGGGCTTGTTGTTGTTGTATAACTAATACAGACAAAGAAAGCTTTTTAGATGAACTAACCTCAAGAATACGGCTCCACTTGCTTCCTGACAACTGCAAGCGAAGAAGAGCACAAAAAGTTTATATATAAGTAATAAGCAAAAAAAGAACTAGCACTTTTTGAAGTAAGCTCGTACGTTTTAGGACAGGAACAGCGAAGAAAGTATCACTGACGACTTTCCCTGGGCAGAAACTAATGGGATATATACGTGAAAATAAACAGAAAACATAGATATAACACAAGAAAAAGTGCATGAAGGAACATCTGAACTAACCTTGTGGAGCACAATGTCAAAAGGACCTTGATCTGAAAGGGGTCTGCTCTGATCTATAGCAACAAATAGTATTCCCTTATTCCTACATAATGTAGGATCATGGTCAGCCACATGATTGCAATGGAATAAATCCAGCATACCAAATTAAATCACTATATCTGAATTTGCATTGATAATAGTGTGAGACTAGAACAACACTAGTCCATCCAAAAAAATGAGCAAAAAGAAAACCATATAGGTAATAGCATATTTTAAAAAGAATTGAATCAATCGCAATCTATCAATAAGTATAATTTCAGTGAACTCTATCAGCATGTATAATCATTTATAGTTCCAGTTAATCCGTGCTTTTTCATTAGAAGTTGCAGTTCTTTTAACATATTAACATTTCCAGCAACAAGCTGGTGCAGTGCATTTTACACGTGCATATACATATACATGTAATAATCTATACACACACATACACGTATATGCAAACATATCAAATCTATATATACAGACGCACATAATATACATACATGTATATGTATACAAGGTCAGACCCTAAAAAGGCAATTCCACTAAACCTGATATAAAAGAGTAAGATCTGCCAATAAAAAAAGCAGAAATGTGAAGCATTCAAAAACAGGAAAAGCATGATTTTTAAAGCATATGAGAATCTACCTAATCCACAACTTTCCACTAAGACCATATATAGAGAAGATTATACTTCCTCCACTTTGTTTGGCAATATTTTCTTATCAGTTCATTCAAAAAAAAGAATGACACATTTCTATATTTCCTTAATAAAGCTTTTATAGCCACACAAATGTTATGGCATATTTAAGATCACAAGTTTTAAAAGCATTCATTTCTTTCTTAAGCTTTCTGACGAGTCAAACTATGCGAAACAAATTGAAACATAGGGAGTATATATTACTAGATTGTACCTACTTGGAATGCACCTATTCTAAATCATGTATCCACCTCTGCTTATTTTAATTTCTAACAGAAACAGCAAATGTAATTGCAGTTCAATAAAAAGCGGCAAATTTCTCTAGAGTTATGTCATGATTTACAAAAAAAAAGGAAGAAATAAATGAATTAATTACCTAGCTAGACCTACAAGCTTGGGCTGCAAAAAACTCTTAGTTTTCTTGGATGTAAGAGCATAGCCTACCACCACCAATTTCATCTGTTCTTGTGGAGACCTCACCATTCCCATTTCCATTTCCTTTTCCTCTTCCTCTACTTCTACCTCCCCCTCATACCCCACTACATTTTCACTCCTCACCATCTTCATCCCCCCTAAAAAAAACACCTTCCTTTTACACCAAATTTATGTATTTATGACAAATTTCTCAACACCCCACTTCACAAAATTTAATCCCACACAACCAAAAACAGGAAAAGTTCAACCTTTTTCAAGGAAAACTTAATCCCAGATGACCCAAAACAAGAAAGATTCAATCTTTCTTCAAGAAAACTAAATCCCAGATGACCCAAAAACGAAAAAGATAAAAAGCTAATCTCGTTAATAAAAAAACAGAGAAGATATTATCTTTTTAGATTATGCACGATTCTTGAAATGTTGATTTACTTTACTTTTGAGTTAGCGTAATCTGAAAGTTGTTTTTTAAAAGGGGCTGGATTTCAAAGAGAGAAAGAGGGAGATATGGAACAGCCGATTACACACACTCACACACACACATATATATGTTTGTGTACGTATATACATACAGAGAGAAGGAGAGAGGGAGAGACACGGCACACACACGAAGAGATATGAGGTTCGGTGTTACAGTAGTGAATACTAGAATGTTGTAACGCAACAAGTGGATGGTGGTGTTTTATAGGCAACCAGAGTTTTTGACCAAAATGGTCCAAAAAGAAAGGGATAAAAAGTTAAAAGTGTAAATTGCTTTAGGACACATCCAACTAAAGTAAAATGCATTTCACTACACATGTTTTTAATGTTTACTCTAATAAAAGATGAAGTCTTGGCGTAGCCACTAAAGTAACTGTCATGTGATTAAGAGGTCACGGGTTCGATCCGTGGAAATAGCCTCTTGCAGAAATGTAGGGTAAAGCTGCGTACAATATACTCTTATGGTCCGGCTGTTTAACCAAAAAATGGAATTTTAGTCAAGCTAGAATTTAGAAGAACTCGGTTACTGATAATCAAAGAAATAAATAAAAGGAAATAATTCTGAGTAGCAATATGATAATCAAGAAAAACAAGTAATACCAATGTATATTTCAATAGCTTTTTCGTGTCTCCCACAACTGATCACCTATCTCCTTTTTATAGGTACCTTTGAGAATGTACGTTATGCCTAAATCATAATGAGGCTATTATGAATAATTAAAGACATTAAATGCTACGTTACACAATCATTACATTGAATATATATTCCTTAACGGACTCAGCATTTAATACCCATTAAATGTTGTATCTGCACGATTTTTGTCACGACCCAAAATCCACTAAGGGTCGTGGTGGCGCCGGACACCTCTGTCAGGCCAGCCTAACTAAATTATCAATTAAATCCTCTTTTAATACTTTTGAAAATCTCAGGTTTTTCCTCTCATTTTTCATAAATAAAAGATCAATACTTGAATTCAAATTTAAATAATAACAATTAGTACACATCTTTCAAAAACCATCCCCAGAACCCGGTGTCACCAGTGCATGTGCATCTACTGATAAGGATATAAAATACAATACAACATCCGTCCGGAATACAATGGACAGAAAGGAAATACAATTTACTAGAAAGGGACTTTAAAAGCTGCGGGCCGCCTTGCATACTGCAACTCACCTAGTCCCCGAATCGTCCGTGCTGCTATGCCCAGTAGGCCGCTAAAGTAACATATACCTGTGCAACAAAAATGCACAGAAGTGTAGTATGAGTACGTAATCAACGTGTACTCAGTGAGTATCCCGTCTAATCCCGAAGGGGTAGAGACGAGATGGCCAACTTCGACACTCACTAGAGGTCAATTAACAATATTCTATAAGTGCGGGATAATCATGGATTTATATATAGAAGTTTCTAATTGTGAGGCCAGGAAACAGGTAAACACCTTCAATAATAAATCAAGGGCTTCCAAGGTTTATTCTTTATTATCTTATCAGTTTATATCAAGCCACGAAGGGCCAATCCCACATTTAAAATTCTTAAGCAACAGATAAACATGCGCAAATCACACCGAGGCGGCGGCCCGCTCCAACAGGATTGTAAACTATGCACTGCCGAGGGTCGAGTGGCCCGAACCAATAGATGCATCTATTTAATCTGCCGAGGCGTTCGGCCCGTTCCATAATTAAACACATACCCTGCTCGCGAATCATGTATGCGACGCAGGTGCACATAAAATACATGCTCAAGTAGTCAAATAAGAATTTATCGGAGCTATTTTATCAAATAAAAACCAAATCCTCTTTTAACAATTCAAGAAAATGAAGTTTAATCCTTTTGAAGTTCATTTACTAGTTCAACTTGATGTTAACAATTCAAATGTCAATAAGATTTCAAATATCCCAAGTATAGCATGCTTTTTGGGTCCTAGACTACCCGGACAATAGCATAATAGTAGCTACGCACGGACTCTCGTCACCTCGTGCGTATGTAGCCCCCACAAGTAGGAGCACATAACCAATTTAACTCACCTATGGGGTAAATTCCCCCTCACAAGATTAGAAAGGAGACTCACCTCACTCCGAAGACTCAAAGCCGGTATCCTACATTCTTCCGAAGGCTTGAACCGACGCACAATGCACCAAAACTAGCCAATTAACGACAAACTAATGAGAACATGCTCAAATACTTGTTAAAAATTCAGATTATACAAATTCCCAACTCCTCTTAGTGAAATGACCAAAATGCCCTCGGGCCCACGTGCCCGGAATCCAAAAAAATTTTCGAAGATAAAGGTTACCCATGACCTTAGGAACTCAAATATATGAGTTTCTCTTAATTTCATACTCAAAATCGTGATCAAATCCAAGATTTCTAATTTCCTAGGTTTTCAATCAAAACCTCAAATTTACACTAATTTCCATGCTTAAATCTATACATAATTGATATATTCAACTCAGAAGTGATGGGGATAACTTACCTTAACAATGACGACAAAAATCCTCTCTTGAAGCTCCCCAATAATTGCCCAAGCCATGAAGAAATGGGAGAAATGAACTCAAACCACGATTTAAATCAACTTTTCTGCCTCCAGGTGTTCCGCTTCTGCGAAAATATTCCCGCTTCCGCTGTCCCGCTTTTGCGGAAAAGATTCCGCTTCTACGGTCCCTGGGCTCCAGCCCATTTTCGCTTCTGCGATTAGCCACCGCCTTTGCGGATTCGCTTCTGCGGATCCCTGACCGCATAAGTGGTTCCTGCTGCCTTCACTCCCAACCGCTTCTGCGGTTCCTACCTCGCTTCTGCGGGGCCGCTTCTGCGGTCCCTTTTCCGCAGAAGCGGAAATACCAGCAACCAGCAACCACCAGCCTTCCCAAAAACTCCATTTTCGATCCGTTAACCACCCGGAATCCACCCGAGGCCCCCTGGACCCCAGCCAATCATACCAACCAGTCCCAAAACACATTACAGACTTTCTCGAGGCCTCAAATCACATCAAACAACACGAAAATCACGAATTACACCCCAATTCAATCTTTATGAACTTTAGAATTCCAAACTTCTACTTCCGATGTTTAAACCTATCAAATCATGTCCGATTGACCTCAAATTTTGCACACAAGTCATATTTGACATTACGGACCTACTCCAACTTTCGGAATTGGATTCCGACCTTGATATCAAAAAGTCAACCTCCGGTCAAACTTCCCAAAACCCTTCAAATTTCTATCTTTAGCCAAATGGCTTCAAAATGACCCACGGACCTCCGAATTCACTTCCGATCGCGCTCCCAACTCCAGAACTCACCATACGGAGCTATTCCCNCACTCTATCCTTCCCAGACTCCACTTGTGGGACTATACTGGGTTTGTTGTTGTTGTTGTTGTTCTCAACTAGGAACCTTTAAGTTAGAAGGGTTGACCAAGTTTGACTTTTGAGTATTTGACCCCGGATCGGAGTTGCGATGGTTCCATTAGGTTCAGATGTGTCACGACCCAAAATCCACTAAGGGTCGTGGTGGCGCCGGACACCTCTGTCAGGCCAGCCTAACTAAATTATCAATTAAATCCTCTTTTAGTACTTTTGAAAATCTAAGGTTTTTCCTTCCATTTTCATAAATAAAAGTTCACTACTTGAATTCAAATTTAAATAATAACAATTAGTACAAATCCGTTGAAACCCATCCCAGAAACCCGGTGTCACAAGTACATGAGCAATTATCGATAAGGAAAGTAAAATACAACATCTGTCCGAAATACAGTGGACAGGGAATAAATAATAAAATGCTGAAAGGAACTACACTGGCTGCGGGTCGTCTCGGACAATGCAGCTCACCTAGTCCCAGAGTCGTCCGTGCTGTTACGCCCAATAGGCTGCTAGAGGATATATATACCCGTGCAACAAAAATGCACAGAAGTGTAGTATGAGTACGTAATCAACGTGTACTCAGTGAGTATCCCGCCTAATCCCGAAGGGGTAGAGACGAGATGGCCAACTCCGACACTCACTAGAGGTAAATTAGCAATATTCTATAAGTGCGAGGAAAATCATGGATTTGTATAGAAGTTCTGATTGTGAAGCCAGAAAAAAAGGTAAACACCTTCAACAATAAATCCAGTGCTTCTAAAGTTTGTTCTTTATTATCTTATCAGTTTATATCAAGCCACGTAGGGCCAATTCCACATTTACAATTTTCAAGTAACAGATAAACACGCACAAATCATGCCGAGGTCGACGGCCCGCTCCAACAAAAATGTAAATTGTGCACTGCCGAGGGTCGAGCGGCACGAACCATAGATGCATCTAATCTCACCGAGGCGTTCGGCCCGTTCCATAAATAAACACATATCCTTCTCGCGGATCATCCATGCGACGCAGGCACACATAAAATACATGCTCAATCAGTCAAATAAGAACTTATCGGGGAATATTTATTCAAATAAAACCAATTCTCCTTTAACAATTCAAGAAATGAAGTTTAATCCTTTTAGAAATTTACTTACTAATTCGATGTGAGTTAAGCAATTCGAGCTACCAATGGGTTCACAATTAATCCACGTGCAACATGCTTTTGGGTCCTAACTACCCAGACAATAGCATAATAGTAGCTACGCACGGACTCTCGTCACCTCGTACGTACGTAGCCCCCACAAATAGGAGCACATAATCAATTACTTCACCTATGGGATAAATTCCCCCTCACAAGATTAGAAAGGAGACTCGCCTCGCTCCGAAGACTCAAACCGGCATTCTACATTCTTCCGAGGGCTCCAATTGATGCACCACACTCCAAGACTAGCCAATGGTTACGCAAATCCATTAATATATGCTCAAATATTCATTACAACTAATTTATAGCAATTCCTAACCCCGATTGGAAAGTTGACCAAAATGCCCTCGGGCCCACGTGCCCGGAATCCAAAACTTTTCGAAGATAAAGTTTACCCATAACCTTAGGAACTCGAATATATAATTTTCTCTTAATTCCATACTCAAAATCGTAATCAAAATCCAAGATTTCTAATTTCCTAGGTTTTCACCAAAACCCCAAATTTACACTAATCTTCATACTTAAATCCATACATAATTGATATATTTAATACAAAAGTGATGGGGATAACTTACCTTGACATTGACGACGAAAATCCCCTCCTTGAAGCTCTCCAAAATCGCCCCAAGCCATGA